GACGTGTATCAGCGTTTTGAAAAGCATAATTAAGTTCTTTCATTCATTCATTGCCATGGAATATGCGTTTACATTGTTTTTTTACTGTTAATAGCTCGATTAATGTGGCTGGCGATCATCTTGCCGGCGGAAGTTTCATGGAAAAGGTATTAAGTAAAAGACTTTTCCCAAAAGAACGTAATCAGTCTCTGTGGTTTAGTGGTTAGTTTATACCTTCTTCAACTGTTGTGAGTGGTTATTGCTGCGGAGCAACCGTAGGGAGCAAGCAGCAACATAATCAGGATTTAAGGGAAATATACTAGGGTATCTAAAAGATAGTAATGCTGCGGCACATTCTGTTGATACTGGCATTAGTTAGGCAGTGAGACTTAAAAGAATCAAAAATGACATTGAATGTCCTCTTTACATGTTGGAAAGTACTAGAATAATTACTATCAGTCTATAGAAAGAACTCGTGGGAACGTTGTTTAGAAAATGATCAAGTGGTTATCAACTCTGGTTTTCCCACTGTAAATTGTAGGAAATAATAGAAATTCAGATCGTTTATCCATATATTTAATATACGGTGCACGATATTTTCTCTGGAAACACAATACCTTTCGTGCTGTTTGTTGCACTTTATTAAGTAACAGTTATTTAGCTTTATATTTATAGAAAACAACAACACAAAAAACGGGAAAAAAAAGAAAGATGGAATAAATAACTCAGTCGGATTCGAACCCGGCACCTCCGGATCGACGCGACTACATTTCACCACTACACCACAGAGACTGATGACGCAGATTCTAGGAAAAGTCTTCCATTTTATTCCTTTTCCATGAAACTTCCGCCGGCAAGATGATCGCCAGCCGCATTAATCGAGCTATCAACAGTGAAAAAACAATGTAAACGCATGTAAACGCAAATTCCAGCTTGCTAGAAGGTGATGTGAAAGTGAGGAAATGTCATGCCATGCTACTCTTAAGAACTTGCATGAGCCGAAAGTGGATGTGATTTTGACCATTAGCTTCAAAATAACAGCGGAAATCGAGATAACAAAACATATGTATTGCGTCCTACTTTGCAGACGAGGACGTGTATTGTTGTTTTGTAATGTTTGTAAAGCATAATTATGTTCTTTCATTCATTCATTGCCATGGAATATGCGTTTGCATTGTTTTTTTTACTGTTAATATACCAGTTAATAGAGCGTGGTCATCTGGCGGGCCGAAGGTTCATCCAAAAGGCATTAAATCAAAGTCTTTTCCCCGAGGTTACGTAATCAGCCTCAGTGGTGTAGTGGTTAGGAGTAGTCGCGTCGCGTCGAGCCGAAGGTGCCGGGTTCGAATCCCACATAACTCTTTTTTTCCTTCTTTCTTTTTTTTTTCCCGTTTTTTTTGTGTTGTTATTTTCTATAAATATATACCTAAATAACTGTTATTTAATAAAGTGCAATAAACAGCAACAAAAGTATCGAGTTTCCAGTGAAAAGATAGTACACCCTATATTAAATATATGGATAAACAATCTGAATTTCTATCATTTCCTACAATTTACTGTGGGAAAACCAGAGTTGATAACCACTTGTCGTAATGATCATTTTCTAAACAACGTTCCCACGAGTTCTTTCTATAGACTGATGGTAATTATTACTTTCCAACATGTAAATAGGACATTCAATGTCATTTTCCATTCTTTTAAGTCTCACGGCCTAACTAAATGTAATGCCAGTATCAACAGAATGTGCCGCAGCATTACTATCTTTTAGATACCCTAGTTTTTATGTTTCAGTCAATATGGTGGTGGTTTCATCTGTTTAAATTTTGATGAATTGCGTGCCACAGTTCCTTTTATAAAACATTGATTTCATGGAAAACTTAAAATGATTTAAATAGTCTGAAAACAGGACAGCTTACCTTTTCTTGCTATCTAATTTTCCAGTAGTACAGTCCTTAGTATACTTCGGTTTTCAAATTCTATCTGTCTGCTTGCCTGAGTCTCCTGTATCGAAAGGGTTGCCTCTCAAGATAGATCAATAACTGAAGGTTGAACGTTCGATGATAATGTGTTACAATCCTCAGATGTCCTGTGATGCTATCGAGAAGCATAATTATGGACTCAAAGTTCTGAAGGAAATCAAACAAGTTGGCATGATCGGAATGATCGATTTCACACTTTCAAAATGGACGCCAAATCGGAACCTGAAAGAGCATGTGCAAAGCGAATATCCGCTGACCAGTTGCTTTGCTGTATTTTTTCAATTCCTTGCCTCATTCGAACGTACAACCCCCAGGTTTTCTCCTTTTTTCTTCTCCTAACAGAAGCGATACCCGGGAAGCGATAAAGGCAGTTGAAAAAACAAGGTAGTATTTGTAGAAAGTTAGTCAATACTCTGTTGAAATTAAGTAGCCATAGTTTTTTGAGAATGCCGTCTGTCGTTCATCGTAAGTGAGAAAAGAGCTATCATGCATGTTCTCTCTGTTTTGACTTTGGTTTCGTTTAACTGGGTGTGACAAAGACACTGTATTAGTTTTCAAGAGTAAGTGATAGGCCATTTATGTTAACAATGCCTTCCAGTCACCCAAACAGAATTACACGATCTCCAAAAACAACAAGCCAACGACTCTCATCGTTAGCGGCATGAAAACTACTTCGGTCATGCTAAAAACAACAAAGAAAACAGATCCTGCTACCAGAGTGGCAATGTATGAGTAACCTTAGCTTACAGTTACTCAACTTTCATACCTCGCGTAAGAGGATGAGCGTAAAGTTGTTGCAACCTTATGTTACGTTCATTCAACCTTTAAGCCAAGTGCGTAAATCTTTACCAACCTCGGCGTACCGTTGGAAAGTTTGCGTAAATGAGTTGTGTTTTTATTAGGTAAAGTTTAATTTTTCCTAAATTTAAGTTTTCATGCCATTTTGCCTCACTGTCGAAAGTCGACACAGTTTTGGCTAACTGATAATATCAGTTAAGAATCAGAGCTCGTATATTTCTTGACACACCGCAGAAGACGTGTGCGGGCCACGATTTGCCCTGATTTTTCACGACAGAAGTATTGGGGACACGGACACTCTCTGAAACGCCGCGTTTCATGACACCTCACGTGTCGGTATACAATTTGCTAAGTGCCATGGAGTATTGTGGCCCTGTAAATTCCACTAAATTACCTATTTCACGCAGTTGTGCTAGAGGCAGGCGTATTCGAAATATCACACATACGAATACAGTGACTATAGTCTACAAAGAAGGAGGAGGGCGACCCTCTGTGCGCCACACCTCGACCCGAACCTCCAGCCCAAGTCCACCACCAGTACCACCACGCCGAGGACGTGGCCGTGGCCGAGCACATGGACGTGGTAGACGATCATGAAAAAAGATCTAAAAACAGCCTCACCCAAGAGAGTGGTAGGACAAACCTTGACCCGACGTCGCAAACCCGCCAAACGACAACGACACATGGCCTACAGTCAAGTAGGGGGTGTCTCGCCTGGTCTCATTGTTGGTATAGGCAAAGCAGGTTTAATATGGGATCACCAAAGCGTTGGGGGATTATCAAACCAAGCGAGCGATCAAAATTGCAGAAAAACGTAGACGAGAAGTGGAACAAGGCAAACGGAAACGATATGCTGGTGAATTGTTTAATTGTTCTATCATGTAAAACGTATAAAAAGACCCTCGTCCGCCTGGACAAGCGTCAGTTAGAAGATGGTCCGTGGACCCAATGGACGCCGACATCGTTATGTCTCCAAAAAACTACGCTGGCGACGTGGATTGCAACGTGGAGGAGTGCTACCCATGTTGGCGATGGCTCTCTCGCCTTGGGCGATCAAGAAACGCAAGCGGGCGCGCCGACGTCATTGTGAGACCAAAAAGAAAAACCGTGACGTTTGCTTTGGACTGGGACAATCAGTATGAAGCCTGGCTGTGCGATCAGTGTCGAGATCACATGCCAAAACACTTTCATGGCGAACTGTGTGGTGCGTGTGGGTCGCTTTTTTCCATACATAGACCTTGGTCGATGCCTACTTTACAAGCACACCATGGATTGCTGCATGGAACGTCAAGCGCCGTTCTTGAAAAGCGTATTACAAGAAGCGGATCAACATAATCGACAAGAATTGTTACGGATGGCCAGTGCGGATCAGATTAATGTGATCAGTGAATTGGTCATGAACACGATCCGTGGAACTGTGCCCCGTTCTCGACACATGATTACGTTGCTCAAACCCCATGCGCAGAGTTTACGAGCCAAACCCGCTCATTCAGTCAAACGTCGACGTGCCATCATGATGTCTCAAAAAAAAGGGAACATCTGGTCCGATGTTATAAACGTTGCGTGCGTTAGAACAAGAACCTCAGTTGCACCATGGAGCAAGAGATGGTGAGCACCCCCGTGGACAACGCCCCAGCTTTTTTACAATTACGAGACAAGTACAAGCAAGAATTGGTGGAAGATACCCGCTTGACCAAAGCCGTGGATTTGGCGTCCAAACAACTTGTGTTATTGGCCAGTGATGTCCGAGATGCTTGGAAACGGGTCTCAACTCAAAGCCGTGGGGCGTCAATTACGCCATTAGACCAAAAAAGTACGCCAACCGTTTGGTGCCCCGGTTAGTGGCGTGGGTGGCACGGGTATTACTGCGACCCCGACAGGCGAGGATGATTTTGATGCTGGCCCCGTGCAAGCTTGGTTGACACAATTGGTCAAGACAACCCAGGGTATAAAACAAAGTGCCTCTCCTGGTGGATCCTCCAGACCCGCCAGAAAACCACCTGTACCACCCAAACCCAGTTTCACCCTGAGTGCCAAAAAGAAACTTCGATTCACTACCAAGGTTCGCACCGAGGAGTTGGCTAAAGAGTTACCCTTTTCAGAAGAGTCTGCACCGAAACCTTGGGTTACCCCCACCTTGGCTGTCAAACGTCAAATCAGAAAGAAAGCAGCAGCTGTTGCCAAAAAGAAAGGAAAAAGTCTAGCCAAAAAAGCCTTGGAGTGGAAATCGTGGAAAACACCGTGATGGGACGGGCCCAGAGACGCCGTGCCGCGCCTCAATCCCGGCAACGACGACGACGACGTTCGCAACGCGGGGGCAAGTTATTTGATGTTCAGAAGTTATTGACCAAGACGGGGATGGAATTTCATTGGCTCGGTTATCAGTACATGGGACCTGGGACCCATTTGGAAAATCGACTGGCCCGCGGTGATCCAGGCATCAACAAGTTAGACAGGATTGCCAAAGCCCATGACATTGACTATGGCAAAGCCAAGGACTTGAAAGACAAATGGGCCGCCGATCGCAAGATGATTGCCAAGATTGATAAACTACCCGATCGTAAAACCCTGATAGAACGTATTGTTAAAAATATCATGAAAGCTAAACTCAAGTTGGGCATGTAAGATTGTATTAAAAGTCCCCATGCTTCAAACAAATAAAAGAGACGTTGTTATGTATACACATGCTTCCTTTTTATTGGCGTTTCATTACAAGAATTGGTTCATGGACTCTAATGCGTTTGCACGAATGGTCTGCACAGTGTCCTCTTCCTTCTCCTCGTGCTCTGTCCATTCGAGCGGCAGCCACTGCAGGGGAAAGGGACGGGCCAGTTGCCCCTCCAACCAGTTCCATCGTCTGCGTTTTTCGGATTCAACACAATAGACATATTTCACCCGCTGCACCTCCTTCCATCCCTCGGCTCCCATAATACGTTTCTTATCGGCCAATTGTTCTTGCCGTCGCGCATTGAGCCGTGCCCGGTACTCCTGATACGTCCCCTCTAGTATCACTCGTTCTTTCCATGCCTTTTGCAAAATCAGGTTCTTTCGTATCACTTCCTCACGTTCTGTTGGCATGTTGTGGTAGTACCACTTTCCCTCACTTGCCTTGTGCTTTTTGAACGCCTCGTACTCTTCCGTGGCCTTGAGACGGGCTATCCTTTCATAACACCGTTTCCAGTTGCAGGCCCTCACATCGTCCATTCGATCCACGGCTGCCTTCTTTCTTTTTCTATATTGGCGTTGATGTTCCACATATTTCTTTTTCTTCGTTGGCGGGTTCATGGTCCAGCCACCTCAACCGCTGGGAGCACACGTCAGCCAAGGCTCTCAATTTCCGGAACGGACGTTTCTTGGCTGCTCGCCGGTCCCACTGTTGCTGCACAATTCGGTCCCGGTTTTTGTGATAGTACACCCGATTGATGAGTCGCACTTGTGCCAGATGGGTGGCCCGGTATCGATGGCACGCTTGTCGGTTCAGTTCTTTAGTTCTGGCGATCTGCTCCGGGGAGGGTGGTGGTTTGGGTTGTGGCGGTTGTTGTTTCTTTTTTGCTGCTCGACGTTCTCGTTTGCGCTTCAAAATTTCTTCTTTGTTCTTCACGTACCACTCGTGTTTCCGCTGTTTTGCCAAGTTTGGATCTTTGTTGGGCATACTGACCAAATCTGGTTCTTGTCTAGGGAGTTTGTCTATACCTATCGTCTTGTCTGCCAATCACAGTCCTCGGTCCAGGGATGGCGCGGGTGGAGGGAATGTGGTACCCATGGGGGGGTCCACCCCTGATCTTCCTCCTGTTCATCAAACCCCTCAGCTGACCATCACCTGAGTCCCTTCCACCAATCTCCTGATGATCACCTGATTCGCTTCCACCCATCCGAGATCATGTGATATCATGTGTTTTTCGGTCTATAAAAGCCAGTGTCTGGCGCGGGAAATTCAAATTGTCCCCTGCACCATGGCGGACGATATATTCTACCACTTTAGTAATGAAGAAGACGGAGAGGATGCCCTTTTGGATAAAGCGTTTGACCGGTGGGAACAATTGGGAGGTGGCTCCGTCCGTGGTCCGCTCTTTCAATTCAATATGCAACCTATTGGCAGACGACGCTGCTGGCGCCATGTCTTGGAGCGGGCGCAATTCAATGCGCAATTGCGTCAATTGAGGGATCCCGTGGCTGGGGATAATATTCGAATGGCTTTAACCGAAGCTTTACATAATGCTATCGAGACCGAACTCGAACGAGAGCAGCGACCTGCACATCATTTTGTCAATTTTGCCATCACTGCTCATGGTTTTACCCATGCCTACCAAACGGCTAATTTCACCGTGGGGGAGTTCTTGAAGCTTTCTAAAGATTTGCGGCTAACTTGATGGAAATTTGCAAATGATCAGTTTTGATTATAGAACCATGCTCCACCTGTAGTCAGGTATATCATTCTGATTGCAGCATAACTGCAGACCCAACAAACCAAATTCACTCTTTCTAAGCTGCGAAAGTTGATTATTTAAATCTTGGAACTTAGAAGCTGAGGACTTAATCATAACTTTAAAAACTTTGAAAGTGAGAAAGGTTTTTTTTATGATAATGATGGTTATAATGATGATAATAATAGTGATGACAATAATGATGATGATGGTGATGATGAGAATGAAAAGAATCTGTGACAATATTAATAAAAGCAATATATAAGTAAAGGTGGTAATGATAATGTAGATAGAGGTGGTTACTGCACAACAAAGAGTTTAGTGCATTAATAATAAAAGGTTCGGACAATCAGCGAGCCATGTGAGCCATGGGAAAAAGTAGAGTTTTATGACAACGTAAATGCACGAAAAATGTTTCCTGCTTATAAGTTCCAAGGTTTTGCTGATGGAATATTTACAGCAGTCTTTCCCAAGCGACTATATAAGACACATACAACATGATTTCATTATCATCTTCGAGACAAGACACACAGGTCTTATCATGGCTTCATTAAACGCGCTCGTCAAACTCCTTCCCTCCTCACCCTTTCCCCTTGTTTCTTCATTAGCGTTCGCCGCTTCCTTTCTGCCTCCTCTTTATATTTCCATCTTCCTCAACTTCTTGGGCTATGCTCGCGGTAAGTATCTGGTTTTGCAACCTAGATTTTATAGGTTGCCACGTGTTCGACAACTGGCTCGACATTCGGTCTGGTCACATATATTTTCAAGGTACACTTAGCATAGGAGCGCGGGCAAGACTGGTGTAAATAGCATACTATTTGCAGAATTACGCAGTATTGATCGACTTTCACTGATTAGATTTAGGCGCTCATTTTACTGACTAGGGTTAAGCACTCGCTTTACGGATTAGGGTTAAGCGCTGTAGAGGGTTAAAAACGTTTTTACAGACTAGGGTAAGCGCATTTTGGCATTAAACACTCATTTACAACGGTTAGCTTTCGGTTATTTTTTTTCGTATTACTGCTTTTTCGATTTTTTTCTATTTTTCTTTCGCATGGCTCGCACTGTGTCCTAACGCATAGTAACAAACATCCTTTATTGAACTAGAAATAAGGAACTTCGCTTGTGTAGTGGTTTATCTATCTTACAAATACCTAATCTTTCAATGGCACCTCGAATTGTAAAGCGACGTTGACGTTCACATGAGAAAGCAAATTATTTTACAACTAAAAGGCGTTAAGTGGTAACAAGTTTCTAGAATATTTAGGTGCACATACAATCGGATACTTCAACTGTGTCGGGTCTGAATTCCTAACGTCAGAACACGTACAGCTTCGGGCAAGGATCTAGCTCCCTTAAAAGCGTGAGTGCTATAGAGATGCCAAAAAGTTTCCGAAGAAATGCTGAAGAAATACGAAATGCTTTTTAAATCCGACACTCTATGCCAAAAAGCAGATGCCAAAAACCAAATGCTAAAGAATGTAAACATGATCTATCAAGTAACCGACACACAGAGAAAGTCGTGAAATATAAAAAAAAAATAAGGAGGAAAGTGAATATCTTACAGTGCCCGAGCAGTTTAAAACAAATGAATTTCAAAACGGAATGTTTCTCAAGCCCTCTAGTTACTATAAATACAGAGGTGTTAGTCTTCAACATTCGGTTGTCAATAATAACGAACCTCAATCACGAAATTCAAGAGCAGTGGCACTTAGCACGCGTGCTCGTTTACGATTCAATTCATCCATGAGCTCGCTGCTAGGAGCCTTTGATTCTCTAACTTCAGCAAATAAGCCTCAAAGCTCTCTAGTTTTACATCTGAAAGTTTAAAGTCAGTCGTGATCGTAGAACTCGCTGCACAAAATGCTAGTCAAATTTAATTTTAAAATGCAACGCTAACACATTTGTGAAAGTTGATGCACAAGTAAGTTTATCCGCCCTGCACTCCACTCATTCTTAGTGAAAGTATAAACGAAGGTGGCTCCTCGTCGTGTCGTGCATACGAAATAGCAACCAGTAGATTAGGATTGCGGGCTCCTCTTTTCACCCGCAATTGCTATTATGATTTTTTTCATACATATATTTTTTTCGTAACGGACGATATTATGATTCACTGTCTGTTTCGGTGTTGTTTACCAAACTAAGCCTAAGACAGGGATGACGAAACAATGTACAGAATTGCTACAAAAAACACCGTAAGGCCCGATAAATATACCGCCGCTCTCCCTCGCCACTGTGATTATCATACGATTTTAGTGGAGAAAGGTCAAATAAATGTACGTTTTGGGCTATCTTCCCATACGCCCTGTATTGTCAATGGCTCCGTATTTGGAGGAGAACAAGTCTCACTAACTGTCATCTCATTGGCCAATTCCGAAGACCGCCACGCATAATCAGTTGACCAGTTACAATATCGGGAGAGAAGCGACGACAAGAAATACGTCTGCGGTTCGCAGGCTACCATCTATTTGGCTTCACAAATCGTTTAAGTTTTTCTGCTAAGACGTTAACAGAGCTTAAGCTAGCTCTAACCCCTGAATTAAATAACCTTAGCTGTTGGCTGAAAGCTAACAAGCTCAGTCTAAATGTTGCTAAAACAGAGCTAATGATTATTGGATCAAGACAAAGACTATCTGCCCAATGTGACGATGTAGAAATCAAAATTGATGACCAAATTATCAAGAGAGTCGATCATACCAAATCCTTGGGTCTTACCATAGATGCTCAACTCTCTTGGGGTAAACACGTTGAAGAGATTTGCAAGAAAGTCTCTTCAGCTATAGGCGCCCTAAAACGTGTGCGGCCCTTTATATCCAAAGAAACTGCAATTCAAATTTATAACGCTTTAATTATGCCTCATTTTGATTACTGCAGCCCCGTCTGGGACTGTTTGAGTGGTTACTTGAGTGATAAGCTCCAAAAATTACAGAATCGTGCAGCCAGAGTTATTACTAAATCACCCTTTGATGCGAGCTCAAACCACCTTCTCTCCACCCTCAGCTGGGAGAGGCTATCTCTTCGACGAAAGAAACAAAAAGCCTTAATGATGTATAAAACCATACATGACCTTGCTCCAAAATATCTACAAAGTCTTTTCTCTCAGCGTCACTCTGCTTACAACTTAAGAAACTCTGAGGGAAGGCTGACCCTGTCCAAACCAAACACCAATTATTTGAAACGAAGCTTCTCTTACAGCGGGGC